AGGGTGTCCTGAATCTGAGAGCTAATGTGATGGGGCTGACACATCCTGGCTTTGTCTCTTCCGCCCCCTTTCCATCTGGGAAGGTTGCCTGGGAATCTGGTTCCCTTTTGACTCTCATCTCTCTATACCCAACCCACTACTGGCTGCCTCGTGAACTAAGCTGGAGTTTAGGCAATGTTGGGGGATCCCTGGCTTTCAAAGCCCAGGTGTGCTCCCCAGAAGCACACACCCCTTTTCCATAATTCAATGAAGTGTCTGGATCTCCTTCGCACTGATATTTATTTACATTGTGAATGTAGGTGGGTTTCACTTTGTATACATCTTATATATGAAAATCCAAATTGCTTACAACCCATGGTTTAGGGGAGGCTCCATGGACCCTTAGCGGTTCAATGATGGACTTTAAGATGGTCTCAGAAGCCCCTGGAAGTGTGGGAATGTTTTTCGTGTGTGTAAAAATTGATAAGCTTTTAGTTTTCTGGGGGGTAGTGTAGATTTCATTAGATTCTCAATGGGCTCATGAGGTTGAAACAGTTATGGGAACTTCTGGGCTAAAGGCTCATTCAGTTCAAGGAGACATTTTTGTTTTGGGACTGCGGGTCCCCAGTTTGCAAAGTCAAATTCTAACCTCTTCATGCCCCTGCCCCCTTTCGATGGCTGCTGTGGAGCAGCTCCGTTCTCCCCTCTTCCTCCCCACACCCCTGCTCTTCAAGTCTATGCTTGGGAATGGAGACGTCTGCCAGACACACATGATTTGAGCTGTGAAATGCCAAGATCACTAGCACCCTATAAATTATAATAAATTTCATTGTGAATGTTTGCTCTCTGCACATGTTTTCAGAATAGCACTATTTTGTGGAGGATGAGGGTAACAGGGCAAGCAAAATCTTACTCCAAACACTGAAGAGAACCCATATACAAAGAGATTGCCACGCCCTGGACAGCAGCAGGCCCTCTTGTCAAATACCCTTCAATCGCAACTAATTCTTGTGGCGCCAAAGGCTTTGGGAGGTGCTGGGGCTCATGGTCGTGCATACTGGCCCGTGTAGAGTTGTCCTTTGCACGGAGCGTGGGTCTTTTGAACTGGTTTGTGTTTGGGGTAGTGTTGCTCTGTCTCACTGTAGTTCCTAGAGCTCCTTGTGAAGAGCTGGGTCAGGAGCAGGGCTCAGTCTATTGCTGGGATCAGGGCTCAGTCTGGGCCTAAGGTTGGTTCAGTCTGGTCCCCAGTTGAGGCTCAGTTTGACACCTTGGTTATACAGGGCTTAGTCTATGGAAGCCTTCAGGGATCAGTCCTTGGTTCATAGCTGATGTCAGGGCTTGGTCTGGACTCAGGGTCAGGCCTCAGGTTAGGGCTACAGTTGGGGCTGAGTCAAGGATCAGGACTCAATTTATTGCTGATTCTAGGGTCCAGTCTAGAATTAGGATTGAGGCTCAGTCTGTGGATGGGATCAGGGTCCGGCCGGGGCTCTCTCCCAGCTGACTCACGTGGTCTTCCTTTCTGCAGGTGCCCAGGACCCCACGCCCAGGGACTGAGTCAGCTGACAGCAGGCGTCTGGCCACCAAGCACAGCAGGAAGGCCTTGAAGGCCAGCCTGACCCTGGGCATCCTGCTGGGCATGTTCTTTGTGACCTGGCTGCCCTTCTTTGTGGCCAACATTGCCCAGGTAATGCCACTGCAGGGGGCGGCAGGTGAGTCCAGGCCTCGCTGGGAGGCCCCAAGCCCCACCTCAGCCCAGGAACGGGAGGGAGGAAGGTGGGCTGCCGCTCATGGTGTGTTTGGCTGTGTCTGTCCGGCCGTGCTGGGTGGGGTGGTCTGTGTTCCTGCCCTGGGGCCAGGCGTGATGCACCCTTCCCTCCAGGCTGTGTGCGACTGCGTCTCCCCAGGCCTCTTCGATGTCCTCACATGGCTGGGCTACTGCAACAGCACCATGAACCCCATCATCTACCCCCTCTTCATGCGGGACTTCAAGCGGGCCCTGGGCAGGCTGCTGCCCTGTCCCCACTGGCCCCAGGAGCACCGGGCCAGCGTGGCCTCACCCTCCA